CGACGCAAGAGCGCGCGTGCACGCTTTTGTTGAAAACCCGTGTTGCGAAAGCTTGCGAAGGTTTTATGGACATACGATGTTGAAATCCTTCCGAAGCCGATGGGTTTTGAAGGATTCCAGCATACGCGCGCGACGACGCGCGCGTCTGCATTTCGTTTTACTTTTGCAGAGGATTCTCGCGAAGGCACACGCGCAAGGGCGTTCGACAGATTTCGACATGCGCGCGCGCGAAGCCCGCTTGGTAGCATTTGGTGGAAATCTTGACAGGCCGATGGTTTTTCTTACGATTTCGCAAGAGCTCGCGCGTTAGCTCTCTTAGCAAATCAGTGTTGCGAAACCCTGTGTTTTTGTATGTTTTTGGGGAACTCGATTGCGGAATCCTTCCGGGACCGAAGGTTTTTGGAGGATGTCGGCATGCGCGCGCCACGACGCGCGCGTGTGCATTTCGTTTCATTTGTTTGCCAGGGATTCGTGTACAAGTCTTATGTTAGAACCAAAACTGTCCCTGCGTATTGTTTTTTCAAGGGAGCCTCAGGGGGGCCGATCCCGGCCCCTCTGGGATAGTGCAAATTCATAGTTTGGATGGACATGTGGTCAGAATCATTTATGATTTGCATGGGGGGGATAACGCCCGGGGGGGGTAGAGTCTATTCTCTTTTTAGAAAGGAGAATGTACGCGGTGCGCAATTTATGCGAGGCAATCGACGCGGTGCAATCCAAGTGATAAATTTGATTTCTGTCCGCAGTGAGTCGTCAATTCCACTGCTCGCGCGATCATCCCGCCAACCCACCCACAACCTGGCTTGCCAAACCCGAGCGGCGGCGATTGCTGTGACCCTTGGCGCTGGCTGGCGCATCGCTGCGGCCGCGCTTGCGCGCGAAGGCTCGCGCGCAGAACGGCCAGCTTGTCTGGCGCGACCGACGCGGCAGCGGTGGCGCTGACCGCTGGGCAATTCCTATCGCTTGTCGCAGGACGCGCTGACGCGCGGGAACTTCAGTGCGAGTCGGTGACTCGGGCGGGCGTGGCATCATGGCGACGTCGCGGACACGATGATGTTTGTAGCGATGCCGGTGACGAAGGTGACGCTGATGACGACAATTCCAATGACGACGCCGATGCGCCGTTGGCGATGATCGTGTCCGCGCGTCGGCGATGAAAGTTTGGGAAGGATTTCGACGTGCGCGCGCGGCCGACGGGCGCGAGTGGCTTGCAAGGTGTCATTTGGCTCATTTGACAGGGTCGTGCCCCCCCAGCACGCGCGCAAAGGACGTTCGACTGATTCCGACACGCGTTCGTGATAGGCCCAGTTGGTAGTATGTGATGAAAGTGTTGTTGACGACCTATGATCTTCATCAGGATTTGCAAGAACGCGCGCAGACTTTGTTTTGGTTGCAAAACAATGATGGTTTACATGTATGTACTGTTTAGGTGTATATATATGTATGTATATGTATATACATTTGTATATATATATATATATACATATATATATATATATATATCCGATGGTTCCGATGTTGAGCTCCTTACGAATACATGGTGTTGAAGGATTCCAGCATGCGCGCTCGACGACGTGCACGCGCGCACTTCGCCCCATTTGGTGCAGTTTCTTCGAAAACTGACGTTTCTTGATCAACGAGTGTGCGCGCGCAGTCGTTTTTGCAAAGGATGGTGGGGGGAGGGTCGAACCTAGTTTGGCTGGGATGGTACGAATTCATATTCAGAATGAACGATGGGGCAGAATCAAGAATTGATTGCGCATCCCCGTGGGGGTCGATATTCCCGGCCCCGGGGGGGGATATTTTTCTTCCGAAAGAAATCTATGTCGCGTGATCCCCGTGATGCAATTGATGCGGTGAAAGCTTGGCAGCGCAATCGACTAGGGCAACGTATGTTGTGCAATACACGCGGTGCAACCTATGCGATGCAACCAATGTTGTGATTGCACGCGTGGTGGGGTTTATGTGGTGCCATATCACGAATGCAAAGTTGCCCACTCTACTGCTCGCGCAAACATCCCACCTACCCACCCGCAATTTGGCCCCATGCGGCGGCGATTGCGACGAGTGCTTGGCGCTGGCTGGCGCATCTCTGCGGCCGCGACAGCCCGCGCATGCACGCGCGCGCAGCGGCCAGCTACTTTGCCGCGACCGACGCAGCCGCGGCGGTGCTGACCGTTGGGCACATCCCAGCGGGCACTTCAGCGCGAGTCGGCGACTTGGGCGGGCGCGGTATCATGGCAACGTCGACAACGGTAGACACGGTGATGATAGTAGCGATGCTGGTGACGATGGTGACAGCGACGACGGCGCGGCCAGTGGCGGCGCGGATGCTGATCACGCCGGCGGCGATGACGGCGTCCTCGCGTCGGCGATGAAGGTTTTGGAAAGAGTTCGACATGCGCGCGCGCGCGGCCGACGCGCGAGAGTGGCCCCCAACACGCGAGCAAGGGCGTTGCTCACGATGTCTGCATGTGACGCCAGAGGCCCCCTTGGCAGAATTCCATGAACGCATTCAAAAACTTATGGTGTCTTCAAGAAATCGCAATAGCGCGAGCGCACGATTCTTTGAAAACTGATGTTGCGAAACCACGCGTTTTTTTGGTTTTATTAATGTTTTTGGGGTACTCGATTTTGAAATCGCTACGACACCGAAGGTTTTTGACGGATGCCGGCATGCGCGCGCGACGACGCGCGCGCGTGCATGTCGTTTCGTTTTTTTTTTTTTTTTTTGCAAAGGATTCTCGCGACGGCACGCGCGCACGGGCGTTCGAGCGATGTCGACATGCGCGCGCGAAGCCCGTTTTGCAGCATTTGTTGAAAATGATGGAAGACGCACGGCTTTTTTTTAGAATTCGCATGGGGCGCGCGCGCGCGCGCCCGTTTTTTTTTTTTTTTTTTTTTTTTTTTTTTTTTTTTTTTTTTTTTTTTGAAAATCCGCGTTGCGAAACCTTGTATTTTTACATGTGTTTTGGACCGTCTATCCTACAATTCTTACGAAACTGAAAGTGTTTGAAGGATGTCGGCATGCGCGCGCGACGACGCGTGCGTGTGTACTTTGAAAACTCATGATTTTTAGTAAACGGGTGCGCGCGTATATGATTTATTGCAGAGGTTGGCGGGGCGGGCCCATGCCCGTTGGGCTGGGGTGATATGAATTCAGATGTCGAATGGACGATGGGGTATCGCATGTAATCTGCAACATTAAAAAGGGGGCGATAATCCCAGGGGGGAATTCGCTTCTGTTCGCAATTAGTTGTCAATGCCACTGCTCGCGCAATGCTCCCCGCTCACCCATCTGCCACCTGATTTGCAATACCCATGCGGCGGCAATTGCGGTGTGTTTGGCGTTGGCGGGTGCATCTGTGCAGCCGCGCTAGCCCGCGGATGCTCGCGCTCGCAGCGGCCAGCTAGCTTGGCGCGACCGACGCGGCCGCGGTGGCGCTGACTGTTGGGCGCGCGATGACTGTTGGGCGCGTCCCAGCGGGCACTTCAGTGCGAGTCGGTGACTGGGGCGGGCGCGGTATCATGGCGACGCAGTTAAGTGCACATGATGGTGACGATGATGATGAGGATGATGACGGTGGTGGTGATGATGGTGGTGATGATGACGATGGTGGTGGTGGTGATGGTGACAACGACGATGACGACAGCGATAACGATGATGATGATGATGGTGTTGACGATAATGATGACGGTATTCGATTTGGTGATGCTGAACATAATGAGGGTGACGTTGATGATGATGATGATGATTGTGATGATGATGGCGACGATGATTTGGATGATGCAGATGATGATGATGGTGGAGGAAAGGGGGGAGGAGGAGGAGGAGGATAAATAGTAAGATAATGAGAAAGAGGGAGGAGGAGGAGGAGGTGCAGGAGGAGTAGCAGGAACAGGAGGAGGAGGAGGAGGACCTGAGTAGGACGAGGAGGAGGAGGAGAGGGAAAATAAGTGGAGACGGACGACGCGCACCCAGAAACCACTGACGATGAACCTCATGCAGCTCTTGTGACTAAGCGCTACCCCATGACAGATTGGAAGCCGCTGCCTCGGACGCCCCCCCCCCCCGCGGGGAAACTCTAGGCAGGCAAGGGACCGCTCCCCCCAACCGAGAAGGGGAGGCAGGAGAGAGGGATAGCAGGGAGGAGCGGGAAAGGAGGGGGAGGAGACAAGGAAGAGGAGCGGTGCCCTGTCCTCTGGGGCGTGGAACCCCCATGGGGAGGATGCGGCTGGCGCCAACTGATTGCCTGCTACGGCGCCATGGGGCGGACCAGAAATGCTCCCCTGCATTTCCAACAGGTGCGAATGTCTTGCCCCGAATCAGACAAATAAGGACTCAAGCTCTCGATCCCGCATGGCTTATACAGTGGCTGGCGACACGCCGGCGCCCACCCAGGATGGGCCGGTCGGGGCTTAAGAGACGGGGGTCAATGCAAACGGAGGTCAGTCAGGGCGCCAGGTCTTGCAGGATCCTTCAGGGCTAGGGGTGCACTTGACCCGGGTTTGGGTGCAGGATCCTGCAGGACTTTGCAGGATCCTGCAAGGCACGACTGACCCGGGTCTGGATTGACACGGGTCAGTAGATCCCCGAGCCGGCTGAGGCACGACAGCTTCGGGACTCGCCCAAAACAGTCACAAAACGGCTCGAGTGATTATTTGGGGCGGGCGCATTTTCCAGGCGGCTAGGGGGAACTGAGTTAGGTTTCAGGACTGCGAAGGAAGCGTCAAGCCCCTCTGTCGGCGGCCGCCCTGCGCTAGCATCCAGGAAAAAAGTCAGCCACAGGCACAAATGGCTCCAGGATCTTACCTCAGCCATGTTTCTTGCGGTTGGGGCGCTGCAGCTCTCTCATCCCATTAGGATTGGAAGCAGTGTGAGCGGAGTTTCGAACCCTATCGCAAACCTTACCTATGTCAGCCACGGACTTGCTTTCCGCGAGGCACCCGCACCTGATACAGATGACAATCCTACAACGCGGGTAAGACGTGATGTGAAGGCTGTGACCCGGAGGGCCGCGGGAATCAGCCTCGAGGCGAGGGCTCTCGCCTGCACACGCGCCTGCTGGCGGGGCAGCTGCGCGAAGCTGGCGTCTGAGAGGGTCGCTCGGCCCTGGGAGCTCGACCGCTGCGTCGGCACGGGATCTGGAGGCAGACGTGGAGGACATGGGGGGCGGAGGCAGGAGCGCGGGGAAGAGGCCGAATCTGATCGCCCTGTGTACGGCGGGGCACTGTAGCCGCAGCCGCCGCTGTCCTCGGAGCGTCACCTCCCCTACCCTCGCGGAGCGCGGCAGCAGCAGCACTCCCCGAGCGAAGAGAAGGTGAGGGGAAGCGAATTAGAACAACCGCGCTTTTTCTGCGACCCTTCTGGAGGGGGCCCCCGAGCGTCAAAGCCGACGATACAAATCTGAGCTGAGATATTGTTTTAGCGCAGTGCCGTCTTCTACAAACTCACACTCGCTGAGGGCGGGCTGGGGAAGAGAATTCGCAGCTGCCTTTGCTAACCTGTCCGCCTGATGAATTACCTTACCTGGTGCTAGAAATTTCTAGTCAGGGCCTACTCCCAGGTCGTCTACATTCTGGTGGGCCTTGACATTCAAGACCCTCACTGCTTAAGTCCAGAATGTCCCCCCACGGATCAAATACTTCACACCAGAAAAGATAGTGGCTCTTTTATAGATTGAGTGGGTTGGCTCCGACTGGATGCCCACAATATTCTGGTAGTCCATGTAAACGTCCCTAGCTCCAGGGCTGTCCGTAGCGATGGATAATATCAAGTAGACTTACGTGCTCAGCTACCGGGGACGCTTGCTTGAAGTAGGAGCCCACAGGCCCACATAAACTAGCTACAGGGTTGCGTGTGTCGTCGATCATGGTAACTCCCCATCCAGAGCGATGACATTGGGCAGGCCCTCGTTCAAGACAGCTGCCATCCTCAAAGAGCGTTCCCGAGATGATCTCGTCGACTGGCCCTCTGGCCAGGACAAGGGGAGGAGGAGGTGGAGGAGGAGGAGGCGGAGGCGGAGGAGGACGATGAGGAGGAGGAGGAAGAGGTTTGAGGAGGAGGAGGAGGAGGAGGAGGAGGAGGAGGAGGAGGAGGAGGAGAGGAGGAGGAGGAGGAGGAGGAGGAGGAGGAGGAGGAGGAGGAGGAGGAGGAGGAGGAGGAGGAGGAGGAGGAGGAGGAGGAGGAGGAGGAGGAGGAGGAGGGTGGTCCCGTGGTTTGGTTTTGGCGCGCAGTTCGGAGCTCTGCCGCAGTGGCCCGCGGCAGGGCGGGGGCCTCGGGGAGGGACCGCTGTCCGACGACCGAGCTCGATCACAGGAAGACGACGGCGAGGGGGAGGAGGAGGACGAGGACGACGGCGACGAGGGCGGCGGCGGCGGAGCGAAGGGGAGGATCAAGTGGAGGAGGAGGAGGAGGAGGAGGAGGAGGAGGAGGAGGAGGAGGAGGAGGAGGGGGAGGGGGAGGGGGAGGGGGAGCGGGAGGAGAAGGGAGGGAGAAGGGTGGATGGGGCGGGACACGAAGAGGGAGTGGATGAGGGGAGGGACGGGGAGGAGGAGAGTGCGGAGTTGCAGGAACAGGAGGCGCAGGAGCGTGGGGGCGCAGGGAGGAAAGAGGGTGTGAGAGGGATGCAGGCAGGGAGGGGAAGAAAGGGAAAGAGGGAGGACGAGGGCGAGGAAGAGGAGGAGGTGGCCGACGAAGCTTCGGGGCCTGTCAGCAGAGGGCGGCAGTACAACACGCAGCTTATTACAAGGCAGGCGTGAATATTCAGCTACGGGCGCCAATGAAATTGTTCCCCGTGCAAAAATCAGTCAAGACAGCACAGGTCGGATAGACGACGAGTAAGGTATGACGGAGGAAGAGGAGGAGGAGGAGGAGGAGAAGGAGGAGGATGAGGGGGAGGAGGATCGGCGATGGAGGACGAGGAGCAGGAGCAATGAGAACGTGGATGACAATAATAGTAAGAAAGGAGAAGGAGCAGCGAGATGAGGACAGGAACGATGGGGGAGGAGGAGAAGTATGAGGATGAGAATAAGGAGCAGGACGATGATGATCGGTCTGTATCGGGTGACAGAGGAAGGAGAAGAAGAAGCTATGGATGCGGAGGTAAAGGGGGACAATAGTCAGGAGGTGGACGACGACAACGAAGACGATCGGTCTTGATCGAGGAGAAGAAAGGGAAGAGGTAGGCATACCGTCGTGCATGATATTTGTGGCAATGGAAAGCCGAGCATCGGGATGCGGAGGAGGAGGAGGAGGAGGAGGAGGACGACGACGTAGACCACGAAAATCGGCCAGCTGAAATCCAAGAATGGTCGAGAAACTTCCGAGACTTGGAGCCTCGATCCTCGACGCCACGACGACGAGCGGCCTCCGAGGGGAGCGACGCAAACAGACGGGGCCAGCCCGCGAAGGATGCTCGCACACGGGCTGCCCGCGCGAGGTCGGCTCGCGAGCCGCGCCGGCGGCCTGCGCGGAAACCGCGCAAGGTCCCCTCCTCTCCTTTCCTTCCCTTGGCATCGCTCGGACGTGTGCATTTTTTCTCGGCGAGAACCATCGAGGACCATCCTGGACCATCGAGCAAGACAAAAACACGCACGAAACCGAAAAATGCACGGGAAATGGACGTCCGAGCGACGGCAAGTTCCCGCTCCCTCCTCTCCTCCCCTGAGTACAGTCAACCCGCATAATAAGGATGGGGGCGCGCATCAAGAAACCATATGCTTTTCGTCAGGGTATCCTGTGTTTCCTAGCTGCTCGCGCTGCGCGGCGACTTCCCGCGGCCGTTGAAGGAGCTGCTGCGTTCAGGGTGCTCCAGGTTTCCCCTCCGGTGCACCTCGCGCGCGGGTTCTCAGGGTTGGGTTTCTTGCGAGGGTTTCTTGTGGCCGCGCCCGCACTGTAAGGATGGGCACCCTTCCCAAGGGTACCCTTGCATCCTTGCCTCCTCGGCCCATCCTTGGCCGCTTTCGCTGGCCGCGCCCCGCTCGAAAAGCTTCGTGATGGGCGTCCAAGGACCTTGCATCCTGATCGTGCATCCTTATGATACGGGTCGATAGTAGGGCCGAGGGTCAGAGAGCGCCTTCCTTTGCAGGGCCTCCGTAAAAAGGAGCGTCAAGGTGGTCGAACGCCTCGCTGGTGAAGCCGACGAAGAGGCGCATCATCCAGCCAGTCGCTGTCGTCCAAAGTTTTGGCTGGACAGCGGGCGTGGTGCATCAATTTCAGCTGGACCGAACTGGTTGGTTGCGCCCCTTGACGTCCGTTTGGGGTGCTCTGCAGACCTGACCCCCCAGCCTCTGCTCCTCCTGCTCCTCCTGCTCGTGATCTCCTCCTGCTCGTGGCCGGTCGGCGCAAGATCTTCGTTTCCAGCCGCGGCCCCTCTCCGTCTCCCACGGGCTGTCCCGCGGACTTCCACGGCCTTCCCCAGAGTTCCGAAGCCTTCCCCCGAGTTCCTCAACTCCTCCCTCCTCCTCCTCCTCCTCCTCCTCCTCCTCCTCCTCCTCCTCCTCCTCCTCCTCCTCCTCGTCGCTGCTTCTTTGGGGGTGCGCCCTGAGGCAGGCACCTGGGCGGTCTGCCGCCCGCCACCCGGGCGTTGAGAACGGACCCTCTGATTGGCACACCCTCACGGCGAGGAGGAGGAGGAGGAGGAGCCTCCTTTGTGTCTTTGCCAGCGTGCGCATGGCCCTCCCCGCTGCGCCAGCACCCGGCCCTGAGGGGCAGCGGCACCGGCAGGGGCGGCGTGCACGTGGCGCATACGACGCAAGATCCCTTCGTCCTCGTCGCTCAGATGGGGACGCCGACGACGACGTCGACGAGGCCGACCCCAGAGGCCTCTGGAGGCTTCTGGAGGCCTCTGGAGCTCTCCGGGAGCCCCCAAGGGCCCCCGCCAGAGGTCGAATCTTTGGTGGGGGGCCTTTCATGGATTTCGGGATCCGATCCAAGAGCGGCCCGGAGTGGAGCTCTCCCAAGAGCGGCCCGGAGTCCCCGAGAGTCCGAGCCTCGGTCCTCGAGAACCCGATCTTCGCTCCTCGAGAGCTCGACCCTCGAGATCCCGCCCCTCGAAGAGCTGGGCAGCTCGAGCCTCGATGCTCCCAGGTGGGGATCACCGCCGACCTTGGGCGGCCCGCTGCTGCCGGGCGCCGCGGAGCCGCCGCCCGCCATGGACTCCGCCTGGGGGGCGCTGTTCGAATCTCTCGGCGGGCCTCCGAGCGCCGCCGCGCACGCCTGCGCGCCACTCTCGCCAGGCGCCCCCGGCAGCTCCTCCCCGTCCTCCCTGTGCCTCGTCGTGGGCCTTGTCGCCCTCTTCCAGGGAGTGGGGCGTGCTGCACCAAGAGGGACGAGGAAGTGGAGGAGGAGAAGGAGGAGGAGGAGGAGGAGGAGGAGGAGGAAGGCGACGACGACGATGGCAGCGTGGAGGAGCAGGAGGGCAAGGTGTGGAGAGAGGGGAGGGGAAGGAGGAGAAGAGGAGGATGAGGAGGAAGAGGAAGAAGAAGGAGAAGAAGAAGAAGGATAATGGGGAGGAGCAGGAGGAGGAGAAGGAGGCGGAGTGTGAAGGGGGGAGGTGGTGATGGCCGCGGGGAGGGAGGGGCAGCGGCTGCCGTGAATCCGCATCCGATTTCGTAACTCGCTATTATGTATGATTTCTGCTCTCTTTCATGCTCGCATTCCTCTTCATACTCCTCAATCATCCGCGGCCATTTTGGGTCAAGATGCTTGCTTCCATGGGGGTGAAGTGGGCACCGCTGATCCGCGGCCGGTCTTCGGTTCTTGGTGAGCTCCTGGTGGAGCGTGGCCTTCCCTCTATCTCGGCAGACAGTCTGGTGGGTGAACTGAGTCATTTTCAGCTCCTGCTGCCCCATCCGCCGCAAGCCGCATGCCAGACGCTCTCGCCAAGCGCACAAAAAATGCAGCCGAGGCCAGCAATGGCGCTCCTGGCGTTCCTGGTCCTCTGTCTCCTAGTCGCACTCTTCACCTAGATGGCTCGCATGGAGGGGTGGCCTGGCGGAGCTCGGCAGAACATTCCAGTCCGAGATGGCGGCTGCCCCGTCGGATTTCGACGCGGCCACGCAGACTTTGGACCCGACTCAAAAACTCTTCGCGCAGATGCTGGCAGAATGGGCAGACAAGCGGGTGGCCTGGCGTCAGGCTTTGCAAGCAACGGGCGGGGTCCCACAAATCGGACCGGCGCTCAGACTTACGGTGCTGGGCACGGCCGGCACGGGGAAGACGCACACTGCCCAGATCGCCATCAACCAGGTCCGCAAGAAGTTCGGGTTGTACGACAGCGTCCTCACCATGGCCTTCTCCGGCGTGGCAGCGGCGAACCTCGGGAGCGGAGCGAGCACGATCGACAGCATCTTCCACACGAACCGCGATTCCGCGAGTGACGACTTGGCTGGAGACAAGTTGGATGATCTCGTCGACCTGCTCGAGTACGTGGAACTGTTGGTTGTGGACGAGGTGTCCACGTGCGGGGCCGCCTCTTTCGAGATCGTCAGCAGGCGCATGCAGCAGGTGGCGCGCGTGCTGTGGCGCAGACGGTTTCGCTGCCCACCGCCGGAAGACATGGGCCCGTTCGGCAGCATCGGCGTCGTTCTCATGGGTGACTTCGCACAACTGCCGCCAGTGCTGGCCACTAGCTTGCTCCCGGGCATGCCTCGCGTGGGCGCGGGCGGCCCGACTGTTCGAGCCATGGCGCTGGCCGGCCAGAAGACCTTCGCCGAATTTGAGGACGTCTTATGTTTGCGTCGTATCCACCGCCAGAAGGGTGCCGATGCATTCAAAGAGTCGACTATGAGACTCAGAGATGCGGCGATCACAACGGAGGATTACGCTCTGTGGAAGACCCACGAGTTGGACACGATGAATGGCTCGGACTTTCAGTCTGCCAACACGTGCGCGTGGCAGGGCGGTGAGTCTCTCGTCCGCGAGGGGTTGGTTCTCGTGCCGGAGAACCAAGCTGTCGGGAAGATCAACGGTAAGCAATTGGCAGCCAGGGCGCCCCTTCACGGCGCGCCAGGCATTGCCAGCGCGGGGGGCGTCGTCGCGAGGACAGAGGCACGACACAACGACCCGCGCGGATTACACAAGAGTGCCGATGACTTCCGGCAACTCCGCAGGGCACTCCACCTGTGCGTGGGGGCGCGGGTGATGTTAACGCAAAATTCTAGACGCTTCGCGTATCCCCACCAGCCCGTCCAGAAACGACGCCCAGGCGAGTAGAGGGTCGTCCTGAGGGGCTTTTCGGCGTCTTGGGTGTCTCGGGGGGGCCTCTGTGGGCCGTTCGGGATCCTCCTCCTGGGGGCCTCTTGGGGCCTCTTGGGGCCATCTTGGGGCCTTTGGGGGCCTCCTGGGCGCTTCTTGGGGCCATCTTTGCCCCCTCAGGAGGCCAAAATGGAGCCAAAATCTTAGTAAAATCAATGATTTGGGCTTCCTCGCCGAGGCCGTTTTGGACGCTCTGGCCGCTCGCGGCCCCCCCCGTCCAGGTCCACGGGGAGGGGGGAGGGGGAGGGGCAAACCCCTCCCCGAAGGGAAAGAGGGATGGAAGAGGAAACGCCTTAAACCACCGACGCCCAGAGGGCTGGTGGGATTGCCTCGATCAGGGAAGTGGACAGCACACAGAGGAAGCCAGTATGAGACATCCTGGGATTTCTTGAGCCATCTTGGAGGTCATTTTGGGCTCTCCGAGGCGCTCTTGGAGTCATCTTAATCAGTGCCCCCCCCCCAAGAGGCCAACCTGTGGCTAAAACCTTAGTGCAAACAATGGTTTGACATTATCGCCGAGGCCTCTGGGAGCACCTTGGGGGCCTCTGGGGGGTCTCTTGGGGCCTCTTGGGGGTCTCTTGGGGGCCTCCGGGGGTCTCTTGGGGGGCCTCTTGGGGCCATCTTGGGGCCATCCTGCGGCCTCTTTGGGCATCCTGGGGGCCTCTTGCTGCCATCGTGGAGGAAATCGATCAAAGAAGAGGGGGGCTTAAATCAGCGCTGCCCCTTCAGAAGGCCAAAATGAGGCCCAAACCATAGTAAAATCAATGATTTTGGCTTCCTGGCCGAGGCCGTTTTGGGCGCTCTGACCGCTCCCCGCCCCTCCTGCCCAGGTCAGTGGGGAGGGGGTAGGGGGAGGGGCAGACCCCTCCCCGAAGGGGAAGAGGGAGGGGTGGAAGAGGAAACGCCTTAAACCACCGACGCCCAGAGGGCTGGTGGGATTCTTTGTGGGACGTCCCCACTGTGCCCCTCAGGCTCATGATTGGGGCTCGGGGGGTGGTCGTCGCCATCGTGCGCGCCTCCCCAGGGGGGCAGCGAACTGACCAGAGTACACTCGCTGGGGTCGGCCATCCCAGCTCCACTCCCGGAGCGTTTCCCCGGGGGGGGCCCGCTTGCCCAGTTCCTGATTTCGTGGTCGTGCATTTCCCCGCGTACAAGGGCCCCGCTTGCTTCGACAATCTCCCAAGGACCTGGGTACCGGTCCCCTGCGCAGAGGTGCGGCACAAGGCCTTGCAGTCGTTGACTCGCGCCGGCACACCCTTGCGCCTGGCATGGGCGCTCACCGTCCACAAGTCGCAGGGCATCACGGCGCACGAGGGCTGCGTCGTCTCCTTTGGTTGTTGTCGAGGACCCAACCCGGTGGGCAAGCTCGGGATGGCCTTCGTGGCATGGACCCGTGTCGCGAAGTGGGAGTCTATGGCCTTTCACAAGCTTCCACCCTTGACGGACTTTCTATCCGCGCGCCTGACAAAGGACTTCTTCGCCAGGGCGGAGTTCGAGAGCAAGGCAGACGCCATGTTTGCCAGACTGCTCGAGCGGAGAGGCACTTCTCCTGAGGCATTAATGGCTGAGCACGAGCAACACTTCTGGACCACCACGCTCGCTAAGGAAGGGCGCGAACCTAATGGTGCTGAGCTGGCAGATCTGCGGGCAATGCTGTCCGCGGTGGGCGTCGCGCCTATCAGCGACAGCGTCTCCCGGCACTGCGAGGAGCAATCGGGCCGCAAGGCCACCGGCCTGTGGAGTATCGTTGCCTCGTTCCGCGCACAGAAACCGAAGAAGAGGCCGGGCCAGGCTTTGCCAGTCCGCGGGAAGAGCGGCTCCGGCGGGAAGACCTCGTCGACGCAGACGGGTACTCAGGGACCCGCGGCTTCGGAGGCGGATGTCGCGGCTGAGACCTCTGCGGCGGCGACGATGATCGACGCGGGCTTCAACGAGGTTGACATCGCCCGTGCGTTGGAGCAGACGTCGTTCCAGTTCCGGCAAGCGCTGGTGCTTCTGCTCAACGGCCTGGGCGCGCAGCGCACAAAGTACGACGCACTCGAACGGTTCCGTCGCCATTCTGCCAGGACGGTCCGGGCTCTGGACTGCGAAGTTTTGGGGGGTGGCGAAGTATTAACGCGGTACTCGCAGCGCGCGCGCAGTGAGCTGCAGTTCGACGCGCATGTCCGGGACCTCGGGCAGTATGCGGGCCGAACCTCGGGTGCGTGCTTCTGGCTATGCCTGGCAGCAGGCCTCGCCGAACGCGGGCCCGACGTTCTCGCCCAGGCCTTGCCGGGCAACGCTCCAGCACATCGAGCGGCAGGCCAACTGACAGCACAGGGTGCGCAGCGGCGTGTCGACGCCGGCGTGCGTCGCTCGCCTTTGGGCGCGGTGGCGGAAGCTCCGCGGGCCCAGTTCTGCGGCGGCGAAGCCGCCGTGCTGCTCAGAGCCGACATGAAGAACAGAATCTACGCAGCCTTTGCTGGCCTGGATGTCCGGGGCCCCGTGCGCACCGAGGCGCTGTGCACTCGCTGGGCGCAGAAGCTGGCCACTAGAGAGTACGCGGACGAGTTGGTGGTGATGTCGGTCGCCTTGGAGTTCGGCATCCGCATCGCTGTCGCCCCCCGCGCTCCACCGACGGCGCTGGCGCAGTGGACAATCACGTCCTATGGGCCAGAAAACGCCACCGTCGTTGTTCACATGGGCAACAATGATTTGCATTGTGTTTATCTGTCGCGCGAATCGTGACTGCGCTGGGCTTTGCCAGCGCAGCTGTTCCAGCGGGCACGGGCTGCGCCAGGCTTTGCCAGCGCAGGGGCTTTGCCAGAGGGCAGGGGCTTTGCTGCAGTGCTATTAGGGGACACGGGCTTTGCTGCAGCGCACGGGCTTTCCCAGCGCACGGGCTTTGCTGTAGTGCTATTAGGGGGGCACGGTGTATGCCAGGCTTTGCCAGCGCTTCGGTATTCTCTGACTGCATGAGGCACGCTTTCGCTGGGCTTCCAGCCGTTTGCGCTGTTTGAGCAAGGGAAAAAGAGGTATGATGGCGGTGCATCGGCCTCGACCGCCGAAGGGCAGCCGTTGAGCAATATTTTGAAGCGATTTAGTCAGTGGCGACAAGAGGGGCTTCAGCAGGCTTCCGACAAAAAAATTTCCACTGGCATCGTCAGCGGAACAATCACCACTGTTGCCCATTGCTCGGCCCCTCCACTCCACAGAACCTCCTTATCACCCGTAGGGTGGTCGTATAGGTACATATATCGCAGTCGGCATCACTATCGATCTCACTTCCAGTGTAGCAATCGACCACACTATCGATCTGAATCTCCATCTACCGATCGAACTCATCATCGATCTCCCTCGATCGATCGGTATCATCATCTCTCGAACTCACAATGGACCCAAACGATCGATCTCACCATCGATTGGTCTATCGATCTATTTTCGTTCGATCTCATTATCGATTTCACTACCGATCTCATTATCGATGCCAATCAATATATGTATATATATATATATATATATATATATATATATATATATCACTATCGATCTCACTATCGACCTCGTCGGGACACCGCAGGACACCGCGCCACGGGACACCACGGGACGCCACGGAACACCACGGGACAGTGGCGCGACACTCCCAGGCCACCGCCGACCTACCAGGGGGAGGAGAGGCATTGAGCCCGGTTTCACCATAGCCAGGGCGAGATCATTTCTCTCGCCTGCCAACGCATCTTCGCCTCGCCCGCACACACGACACGAAACCGAAGTTGATTTCCCGGTGGGGGGCTCTCTGTTTCATTGCGATCTCACCCCCAACTTTAGATCCGGAGGTCTGAAATCGTACTCGAGGTCCTCGCAGGCTTCGAGCATGGATTCAAAACCGAACCACTTGTGAGTAGGGGTGCCGTCGGCCGCACCGCAAGCGAAGCACGTGGGGGACCGAATGAGGTGAAGAGGAAACAGGAGGAGGAGGAGGAGGAAGAGGATGGAGGGGCACAGAAGGCGGAGGATTGGGAAGTGGAGGAGGAGGAGGAGGAGGAGGAGGAGGAGGAGGAGGAGGAGGAGGAGGGGAGGAGGAGGAGGAGGAGGAGGGGGAGGAGAGGAGGAAGGGGCAGAAGTAGGACGAGGAAGAGGTAGAGGATGAGGAGGGAGAGGCGGCGGAGCGGGACGAGGAGGCGAAGAGGAGGAGGAGGAGAGGAGGAGGAGGAGGAGGAGGAGGAGGAGGAGGAGGAGGAGGAGCAGCAGCCCCCCCCTCGGCAGGCGCACGTCTGCCAGAGTCCGCGGCCGGGGCGGTGGCGGGGCCGGAGGCCGCGTGAGGGGACGCGCTCCGCCCGCCAGGGCCCCTGCCGCTTGTCGCCGAAGGGGGGGCGCAGTGGCACGATATCACGCAGACAGATCCTGGGGGAGAAACGGCGCGGGGGCGGGCCAGGCGGGGATGGGGAGGGGGAGGAGGATGAGGAGCAGGAGGAGGAGGATGAGGAGGAGGAGGAGGAGGAGGAGGAAGAGGGAGGAGGAGGAGGAGGAGGAGGAAGAGGGAGGAGGAGGAGGAGGAGAGAGCGGGAGGAGGAGAAGGGGAATGGGAAGCACCTGGAGAGGGGGTGGAGGAGGGAAGAGGGAGGGAAAGGGTAGAAGGAGGGGGGACGGGTGCGGAGCAGATGGGAAGGCAACGAAGGGAGATTGATAAGGCAATGGGGAGGGGGCATGCGTGCATACGTTTGTATGAACATGTCGAAGGAGGAGAAGGATGAAGGATGCAGGGGGAGGGAGAGGATGAGGAGGAGGAGGAGGAGGAAGAGGAGGAGGAGAAGCAGCAGCAGCAGCAAGAAGAGAGGAGGAGGAGGCGGAGGAGGAGGAGGTTGATGAGTCACTCCCCATCCACCTCAACTCTTTTCCTCCCTCAACCTCATCCCAAAGAACACGTGGGAGGGGGAGCAGGAGGAGAAGAGCAGGAGTGATACAAGGAGAGTGGGGAGGAGGGAAGGGGGGATTGATGGGCGCAGGACGTGGGAAGGGGGGTACCTCAACCTCAACATCGTGTGCTTTTCTTCTGGATGATATCATTCGTCCTCCTCGTATCATTACCCTTCTCCCTATTCCCATAGGAGAGATTGGAGGAGGATGCAGCGTGATCGGATGATGATGATGATGATGATGATGATGATGATGATGATGATGATGATGATGATGATGATGATGACGATGATGATGATGATGATGATGATGATGCCGATGATGTTGATGATGTTGATGATGCTGACGATGATATTAATGATGATGATGCTCATGATGATGATGATGATGATGATGATGATGGTGGTGGTGGTGATGATGATCATGCTGGTGGTGGTGGTCACGATGATGCTGATGATGATGGTGGTGGTGATGATGATGCTAAGTGTGCTGAGAATGATGATGCTGATGATGGTGATGTTGATGATGATGACGATGATGTCGATGATGATGATGATGATGATGATGATGATGATGATGATGATGTTGATGATGATGATGATGATGATGGTGATGATGGTGATGATGGTGATGATGGTGATGTTGATGATGATGGCGATGATGCTGCTGATTATGATGTTTATGATGATAACGACAACGAGAATGTTGCTGATGCGGATGATGGTGATGCAGCAGCAGCAGCACAGCTCTTTCAGTGCCGCATGAGCCCTTGGGCACTCCACTTCGTTCCAGAGGCACGGTGGCGGACATCGCGATACCATTGGCGATGCGGCGCGATCCTCCAACCCCATCTACTCCAGCCACGCTTGGGCTGCCTCCAGGGCTGCATGACTCGCTTCCTCACCTCATCTACTTCTCCCCCTCCTGTCGTCAACCGCCTTGCCAGCTGCTGGAGCCGCAGCGGTTGTAAGTTCTGCCTCCGCCCCAGACCCTGACGCTTAGACGCTCCCAGAGGTCCGCAGAGACCCCGGGAGGCCCGAGGAGGGCCGAAAGGGGACAACGTCAGGGGCAGCGATAGGAAGGGAAAGGCATAGGGAGAGACGCATTGACCCCCGATCGCCCATTGATCGCCGATAGGGGCCCGAGAGCCCCCACCTGCCCAGGAACGTGCGGAGTCACTGTCGGGCAGGGCATCGCCGATTCCAGGTCGGCGCGCCCCCCCATATGCCATTGCCCCCCCCCCCTCCCTGGATCGTTGTTGCCCCCCTCACAACGTCCAGAGACAAGCTCCCCTTCCGCTCCCCCTCGGCCCTCGAGGATGGAGGGCAGGGCTCCGCAGCGGCCGCAGGAGCCTCGACGATGGGAGCCGCGGTGGCCGCACTGAGCTCGGCCGGCCCCGCGGCGGGCGCCACGCGCGGGGCGTGGCGCCCAGGGCTCGCAAGCGCCGGCTCTGGCGGCGAGAGCGGCACGCGCCCCGTGCTGGCGCCCTCCTCCTCCTCCCCCTCCTCCTCCCCCTCCCCCCCCCCCTCCTCCTCCCCCTCCTCCTCCTCCCCCTCCTGCGATGAAACGTGCTGCGGAAGAGATCTGCTTGGCTGGATGGTATGGGTCAGCTATCAGCCGAGAGCGCCTTCGTCAACATCTTATTCTGCAGATCCCCCGCAACGACCCTGCAGTACTCCACTCGGCTCTTGGCAACCTCCAGCAACACCTGCGGATGCTAGACTGGCGCCCCGATCCCTCACGCATGGACTTGCCCAACCGTACCAGGTTCCTTCAATTGGTCGCTGATGATGGGTCGTGCTGGGCGGCACCGAGGCCGCGTTCCCCGCCAGCGCCGAGCCCGCTCATCTGGTTCCACAATTTCTCGCTTCAGCACATGGATGTGGATCCGCCCCACCCTAAGATGCCATCGATCCCTTCGTCTGACGACCACGAAGTCTACTCGGCCAACGAAAGCGATGCCCCGATGCCGCCAGACTATCCTTCACCCACGGACGAGGACCTTCGCCTCTTGGACGAGCTGAATGACCAAGAGCAGGCCTTTGGCGCAGGCCCTCCGCCGCCTTTCGACAGCGACTTCATGAGCGACGATGAGTTCGAGTACTTGATTGGTGAAGAGCCGAAGCCGTCTGAAGCTGGGCAAGTTCAGCTTCTGTCGTCGTCGAGATGCTACCCAGCGTGGCCTTCGGGCAGTTCATCGGGGCCGCCACCTCCTGGCGCTGACGCGGATGTTCTGGCCTGGATGAACCCTGCGACGGCGACTGCTACGGGGAGAATGGTCCCATGGACATCACCCTCCTGTTACTCCGCGTGCTGATTGGCTTCCTCTTCATGATAGATCTGCCCTCCCCGAAGAGCGGCCTCCTGAACCTCTGCAACCTGCTGCCCAAGCTGCTGGGCGTTGTGTTGTGCTGGGTCCCACGGCTGCTAACTGTTGGGTCTGCCTGCCTCCGTCGTGTCCTCCCACCTTGCTGCCGACGGCCCTGCCCAGAACGTCAGCGACACCCAGTCCGACTTCGAGGGCCCGACATACTTGCAGACGCTCTACGACATGGAGATGCATGACGACGAGCGCTCCCCTGAAGACGAGGCGGACGTCCTCCTCGAAGAACCTGCTGGCGAGCTGGCTGTGGTAGCCTCCGACACTGACCTCACAGACCCGCTTTTCTTGGAGATGGTGCCCTTACTGGAGGCGTACCCCCTCCAATGGCAGCGTCGAGACTCAGACTAATATGACCTACGACGGCGGCCACCTGTCCGCGGTCTTCCCCGACTACATCCCCAGCGAGAACTACGTTGACGGCGCCGCCCTGGACGACCACTCCCACCACGACCTGGACACCAACGCCGTGCCTGTGAGGGAAGCTGTCATCAACCACCACGGCGCGAACCGTCCGCTGTCCAACGACCACCGCGAGATTGTTGCTGGGCTACTCACGCATCCTGAAGCACTTCCTCATGCTACTGATGCTCGTGAAGATGAGGAGGGAATGACCGACATTCATGGAGGACTTGGTGGAGACGTGGGTAATGATGTGGACGCACCGCCGCACCGCGAACCTGCTCCATGTGCTCAACCGAACGTGTTTCATGGCCTACAGACGGCGAATGAGCATGCGACCATTGACGCACTGTCAGGATTGATGCCGCACACCTCTCTCGCCCTACAACTTGCACTCGATGCCCTAGATCAAGGCATTGATCCGCGCCCGATCCCGTCGGCATCATCAGCGACAACCCCTGGGGCGGCGAGCGCCTTGGCATCAGCGTCAGCAGAGGCTCCTGTACGTCATGAAGAGATCTCCGAACAGCAGATCGAGTATGCGATGCGTACACTGGACAGCTTGTACCCCGTGGTCTCTGCGGACAAGAAGGAGGTGATTCGATGGATGCTACACCACCCGGGGTGCCTCCTGGGTGCACATGATGAGCTGCCATCTGATGCGGAACGAGAACTCCTCCCCGACCCTGGTGGTCAGTAACTCTTGGATGATGGGCCTGTCTCCCTCGAGCTCCTCGCGGACGAGGACGCGATGCTGCGCGACATAGAGGACGAGGACGACCCTGCACTCGGCAGCCAGGCACTCGCTGACGCCTCGCTCCAGTCGGGTGTTCTATTTCTTCCTGCTGAAGGTCTCGCTGATACCTCCGCGGCTGGCGAGGGCGCCTTCCCAGACTACGCGCCCTTCGACCCCGTTGCGCAAGTGCCGTTCGGTGGTGACGACGACCCTTCCCTTTTCTGCGCCTTTCCCTGACTTCGACCCTGTTGACAACGTCGTCGGCGAAGAGAACGGGATCATGATGAACTGCGACGGCGTCGCCATCTCGGACCTCGCGTCCGTCGGGGACGCCCTTCCCGACCTCGCCCCGAGCCACTCCGAGCAGCTCGACAACGCTGCCGACAGCTTGGTCGGCCTCCTCGCCGACGCCAGCGGCTCCCTGGACTTCTACAGCGTGAGCCTGAGAGGCTCGGCGCAGGCGGGCCTGCGGCGTCCCTAGGCGGGGACAGACCATCGCCAGGGACGCCCTCCTCCTCCCCCTCCCCCTCCCCCCTCCTCCTCCTCCTCCTCCTCTCCTCCTCCTCCTCCTCCTCCTCCTCCTCCTCCTCCTCCTCCTCCTCCTCCTCCTCCTCCTCCTCCCCCTCCCGTCTCCTCGCCTCGCCCGCCTCGCCCGCCCTCCTTGCCTACGTGGCGGCCGCAGCGGGGCTCGGCGGGCTCCGGCGGCGGGCGATCCGCTCGGGGGGGCGCCGCGTCGCCTGGGCGGCGAGAGCGGGCGCCCTCTTTCTTCTTATCCTCGGCGAAGAAAGAAGGAAAAGACGAAGAAGAAGGAGAAGACGAAGAATACGAAGGAGGAGAAGAAGGAGAAGAAGAAGGAGAAGAAGGATAATAATAAGAATAAGAATAAGGAGAGGAAGAACGATAATAATTATTCACTGCGTGGAGCTCCCCATATGCGCAGATATTCGCATGGACCTGTCCGCCGTGAGTGTCTCGGCGCAAGAGTTTTCGAACATAAGCGGGCTTGAGTTGTGACGGTCTGGTCATACAGCGAATGAGAGTGTGAATGGATCTCAGTAGTACGAGCGCGTCTCTGCGCATGAACGTGGGGCCTCCTGGGGCCTCCTGAAACCTTCTGGGGGTTCCTGGGGGTTCCAGGAGCCTCCTGGGGCTTCTTGGGGCTTCGAGTGGCCTCCTGAGGCCTCCTGGAGCCTCGTGGGGCCTCCTGGGACCTCCTAGGGAGGATCCGTGCCCCAGGAGAAGCCTAATCCACAGGAGCAGGCGTACATAAAAAACATTGCGGATTGCAGCCGCAGGAGAAGGGCAATCTGTAGGAACATACGTAAAACACCAAGGACTCGTGCCCCAGGAGAAGCCCAATCTACAGGAACATGCGTAAACCATCTAGGATTGTATACACAGGAGAAGGACAATCTATAGACTTTAGAAACATACTTGTAACATCAAGGATTCGTGCTCAAGGTGAGGCCCAATCTATAGGAGCATACGTAAAACACATGGGATTGGAGCCACTCCTGTTGCCTTCTGAGGCCTCCTGCTACTGGGGCCTCTCGGGGCCTCCTGTTGCCTTCGGGGCCTCCTGGCGCTTCCTGTGACCTCCTGGGGCCTCTTCTGGCTTCCTGAGGCCTCCTGGAGCTTTCTGGGGCCTTCTGGAGCCTCTTGGGACGTCCTGTGGCTCTTCCTGTGGCCTCCTGATGCCTCCTGGGACCTCATGTGGCCTCCTGGGGTCTCCTGGAGCCTGCTGGAGCCTCCTGTGGCATCCTGGGGAGAATATATGCCCACGAGTCTGGCCACCAAAACAAGCAAACCGATCGAGACATCCTCAAAAGCTGGCCCCCTCTGGAGGGCGAAAATGAGTGCCTCGCTCGAGACATCCTCCAAATCTGCTCCGCAAGCGGAGCATGTTGGGCATGCAAACAGGCAAACCGCTCGAGACATCCCCGCCATTTTCGCGCGAACGGAGGCTGTGCAATACCCTTGGCGGCCCCCCCTTGAAGAGTGCTAAAACCAGCAAGCCGCTCGATACATCCTCATCACCTGCTCATCGTCGTCATCATCAACATCATCACCATCATCATCATCATACTCATCCGTTATTGACCATCACCGTCATACGCACATCATACTCTCGCCATACCATGGTCATCATCATGACAATCATCATCATTGTCTGGTGCAGAGAGGGGGGAGGGGAGGGGAGAGGTCCGGCGCGGTCAGGGAATAACAAGAACCCCATCCTTTGGATAAGGGAAAAAAACGCCCATACACATAAACTGTTGGCGCTCCGCGCGGATTTCTTGGATCTGCGCTGGGCCCCCTCCCTGGCGCGCGGAGCGCAGATCCAAGAAATCCGCGCGGAGCGCCAACAGTTAATGCTTATGGCGTTGTTTCTTCCTCCATCTTCACGCGTGGTCCAAGACTTGAGCCGAGCAGCGTTGCCACTGCAGCTCGTGGCTGCATACGATGTGCACGACTTGCTGCAGGTGTGCACGAGTGCATCGCTGCGTGAGTGGGTTGCGACCGTAGCCGCCGAGGCTCGAATCTAGAAGTCGCAAGGCACGTCCTAGGGTCCAAGAGCCAGGCTGGAAACTTGCGCAATCACGGCTAGAGAGCTCTTTGGTATTATCGTGACCACCTCTGTTATGATTGCGTCTATGATTGGCACCCGCCTGCCTCCCTCTGCCTTGCCGGCAGCAGCGGCAGCCCGCGGCGGCGGGAGCCCTCGGCAAGCGTGGCTTCCGTCCCAGGGCCCTGACCCCCAAGAGGCCCCCCCCTCGAGGCCCGAGGAGCGCCTGGCACGTTCGAAGGCCTCCCGAGAGCGTCGATCCGCTCCTCGAGGGTCATCGCCCGGGCTGGCCAGCCACGACATGCGGAGGGTCGAGGGCCGAGGCCATGGCGTACAGTCAAGACGTTGAAATAAGGAACAGTTTGAGTTCGGAAAGGGGCTCGATGTTCCTCAGGTTCCTCCAGTGCTGCTCCTCTTGCCTTCCTGGGGCACGGAGGCGCTTACAGGGCCAAGAAGGGGCTTCGTTCCTTGTTCAGCGTTCCTTCTTTCAGCGGCCCGACTGTACATCGGGTGGGGCTGCAGTGAAAACCCATGCCAAGAGACACCCTGCTTGCCTCCAGGGTGTCCTGGGCTTCGCGGGTTTCGCGGGTCTTGCGATGGAAAGCGCGACGTTCCCACCAATTACGCTACCGAGGAACCCCACATATTTAAATTAAATATTGTGTGTTTGCTTAAGTTTATCATATATGCGCAATTCTGCGTTCTCAGCCCTCGTCGCGAATGTTCCCCTATATGTCATCCAGCGCCATATTGCTTGAACCTCCTCCCTCTTCCTAGCCTTCTATCCTCCGTCGAGGACAGATTCGAGCCAGCCAGCGGCCGCGGTGAGGGACCACCCCCTGCGCACCCTCTGTGGTGTCGAGAAAGTGCCACGCCTGCTATGCCCTGGACGACCGTCGTGCATAGCGGCCGCGGTGAGGGACCACCCCCTGCGCAGCCTCTAAGGTGTCGAGAAAATGCCGCGCCTGCTATGCCCTGGACGACCGTCGTGCATAGCAGCCGCGGTGAGAAACCACCCCCTGCGCACCCCCTATGACGTCGAGAAAGTGCCACGCCTTCTCGCGGAGGAGTGCGTGGCACTCCTCCCAACACCTTCGCACTCCTCTCAACTCTTCCTCCTCTCAACTCCTCCGCGCTCCTCTTAACTCCTTGCGTCAACTCCTCCGCATCGGGGGAGGAAAGGAAGGAATGGAGGGAGGGTAAGGAGCGGGAGAGAACGGGAGAACTTGTAACTCGGAACTCGAAATCGCAGCTGCCGCCGGCCAGGGCGTTGCATGTGGGCGCCGTAGCGCCAGGCATGCAAGTGGCCATGGGGGGGCTGGTGCTCCCCAAGAGCCCTCAAGCAGAATTGAAAGGCAATGCGCGGCACGGCAGTGCAGGGCATGGCAGCACAACGGCACAGCACGGGAGTGCACGGCCGCGCACGGCACGGCACGGCACGGCACGGCACCAACGAAAGGCATGGCGTGGCAGTGATTCCCGGCGGCCCCAGGGCTTTGAACGAGCCTCCAGACACCGAGAGCAGCAAAAAACCTCCTCGAACCTCGAAGTGCGTCGCCGTCGTCGTCGTCGCCGCCGCCAGACATGGTCAGACCTCCGGCGGTGCAGAAATCGAAAATTCTCTCCCTGGCGAACGAGAACGAATCCGCGTGGGCGAGGCCCATGCGTCTGAAGTCCGTCCAAGCAGCGAGCACCTGCGTGATGCGCTTGGCCCTGACCGGGTCGGGGCGCGGGTCCTCCTGGTCAGCTGGGTAGAGGAACTTCACCGCCTCCAGCCGCTCTGCCAGGGCAGCCTGCCGCGAGGAGCGCGCTGGGCCTTCCACGTCACGCAGAGAGTCGATGCCATGATGATCAGCAGCAGCTCGAAACGTCCAATGCCAAGGGGCGACGTCGCTAACCTCCCCGTAGAACTTGGCGCCAGCTACGCCGAGCATGTCAGGTTGCAGTGCGAACAGACGAAGGGTGGGCACATCCACTCTGTAGCATCCAGCGTTCGTGGAGTACCTGTAAAGCGCCTGCCACAAATCGGCATCGTCGCCCCTCCTCGACGGCCAGTACTCCGGATCAGAAGCTCGCTTGGCCGGCCGCGAATGCCTTGTACCATTTGGCTGCTTTCGCATTCGCTTTCGTCAAGAGGTTCTCGAGCTGAACTGATTCTCGCAAGCTTTGCGACCAAGGTACTTCTGCCCAACGGCGGTCCGTCTGAGCCGGCTCTGGGGACAGCTGAATGCGAGGGGTGCCTGTGGAAGGAACAGAGGTAGCAAGCAGAAGTGCCGGTGACCGCTGCGGAGTGAAAGCCTGCATGGGCGTGGACTTGATGGCGTGTCCTGCGCGGGCGTGGCAACGCCCCCGTTGCCGGCATCGCCGACCCGCCGAACTTTCGCCAACGGCCAGCCATCGCCATCCTCCGCCCCCAGCTGATCAGCTGGGAACCTGCCGGACGAAGGGTTCAGCAAGTACCTAATCAAGCACTGCCTCCTGGCATCGTCGGCGCCTTTTGTTCGCGGCAACTCGTTGTACCTGTTGAGGAGCGTGTCAGGCCACCAGTTCGTCAGCTGTCGGTGGTAAGCATGAAATGCGCTGTGTACCAGGGCGTTCCCATGCCGGACAGCATATCCGCGCAAACCATCCAGGTTCACCTCGGCGCCCATCTCGAGCATTGATGTCTTGAGCTGCTCGCACGGCGGTGGCAGCGCGGCCATGGCGCATTTGGGCGCCATGACATGACGGGGCCGTACCTTTGACGGAAAGTCACTAGCAGTCGCCCGCGCTCACATATCGCGCGGTCTGAGCCGACATGAGCCAGGGTGACTACAATTCTTGATGATGATAATGATGATGATTATGTTGATGTTGGTGATGATGATGATGATGATGATGATGATGATGATGATGATGATGATGGCGCCCCCCTGCTTGCGCACCCCTGTGGCCTCAAGAAAATGTGATGCGCGCTACGCCCTGGTAGACTCCACCCCCTGCGCACCCCCCATGGTGTCGAGAAGCTGCCACGCCTGCTATGCCTGGACGACTGCTATGCCAGGACGACCGGGGCGTATAGAGACCGCGGTGAGAGACCACCCCCTGCGCACCTTTTATAATGTCGAGACAGTCCCACGGATGCTGTGCCCGGGACGACATAGGCGCATAGCGGTCGCGCTGAGGGACAACCCCCTTATGGTGTCGACGAAGTGCCGCGCCTGCTGTGCCTGGACGACAGGGGCGTACACAGGCCGCGGTGAGAGACCACCCCTGCGCACCCCCTATGGTGTCGAGAAAGTGCCACGCCTGCTGTGCCTGGACGACCGGGGCGTATAGAAACCGCGGTGAGAGACCACCCCCTGCGCACCCGCTACGGTGTCGAGAATGTGCCACGCCTGCTGTGCCTGGACGACTGGGGCGTATAGAGACCGCGGTGAGAGACCAGCCCTTGCGCACCCTTTATGGTGTCGAGAAAGTGCCACTCCTGCTGTGCCTGGACGACCGGGGCGTATAGAGACCGCGGTGAGAAACCACCCCGTGCGCACCCCCTATGGCGTCGAGAAAGTGCAACGCATGCTGTGCCTCGACGACTGGGGCGTATAGAGACCGCTGTGAGAGACCAGCCCTTGCGCACCCCCTACGGTGTCGAGAAAGTGCCACGCCTGCCGTGCCTGGACGACTGGGGCGTACAGAGACCGCGGTGAGAAACCACTAGAGACCGCGGTGAGAGACCACCCCCTGCGCACCCCCTACGGTGTCGAGAAAGTGCCACGCCTGCTGTGCCTCGACGACTGGGGCGTATAGAGACCGCTGTGAGAGACCAGCCCTTGCGCACCCCTTATGGTGTCGAGAAAGTGCCACGCCTGCTGTGCCTGGACGACCGGGGCGTACAGAGACCGCGGTGGGAAACCACCCCCTGCGCACCCCCTATGGTTTCGAGAAAGTGCCACGCCTGCTGTGCCTGGGCGACTGGGGCGTATAGAGGCCGCGGTGAGAGACCAGCCCTTGCGCACCCCCTACGGTGTCGAGAAAGTGCCACGCCTGCTACGCCTGGACGACCGGGGCGTATAGAGACCGCGGTGAGAAACCACCCCTTGCGCACCCCCTATGGTGTCGAGAAAGTGCCATGCTTGGTGTGCCCTGGACGACTGGCGCGTATAGAGACGGCGGCGGGAGACCACCCCCTGCGCACCCCCTATGGCGTCGAGAAAGTGCAACGCTTGCTACGCCTGGACGACTGGCGCGTATAGAGACAGCGGTGAGAGACCACATCCTGCGCACACCTACCTACGGTGTCGAGAAAGTGCCACGCTAGCCATGCACTGCGAATCCTACACGCACGTCTTATATATTGTGTGTCATGTATATGTGTATGATGTGTGCGCGGCCTGTGATGCAGTGAACATGCGTCTTGTGTTTGCCCTATGGTGTCGAGAAAGTGCCACGCTTGCCATGCACTGCGAATCCTACACGCACGTCTTATATATTGTGTGTCATGTGTATGTGTGTGATGTGTGCGCGGCCTGTGATGCAGTGAACATGCGTCTTGTGTTTGCGAGTGTGTGTGTGTGCGTGCGGCTGTATGTAGACGCGTGTCTCATGTACTTGCCGCGCATGTTGTTGCATGTGTTGAGCGCGGGTGAGGAGAGGAAGAAGAGGAGGGGAAGAGTGAGGTGTGTGAGGGTGTGTCGCGGGTGCGGCGCGGCGGGGAAGAAAACCAGAACCCCACGAAACATGTGGGGGAAAAACCTATGGACGTCCTGGGATCTCAGGGCTGGGTTTCTTGAGGAAGGTTTCTTGTGGTCGAGCTCCTGCTGCACAGTGGTCTGGACACGCGGACGCCTCCCCCACCGGTCCTCGAGGGTGGAGGGCGGAGCCTGCCTGGCATGGGGGGGACGGGTCCCGAGGGAAACGGGTCCTGAACCCTGGGGCCTTCTCCCAGGACCAGAGCTTCACTTGGCCATCGCTCGGACGTGTGCATGTCTTCGCGGCGGGGATCATCGAGGAGCATCCTGGATCATCCTGCGGAAAAAAATCAAAAAAAGAAAAGCAAAAAACGCGCACGAGACCGACAAATGCCCAGGGAAGGGACGTCCGAGCGATGGGCAAGGTCGTCCGAGCGATGACCGTCCCAGGGCCCGTGAAGGGCCCGGGGAAGCTAGAAACGGCGAGGAGCCTCAGGACCCGCTTCTCGGCCACGCGCAAAAGGGGGGGAGGGGGAGGGGGAAGGCTTCTCAGAAGCACCACTGCCTCCCAGAAGGCGCGGGCCTTGTCTGTAGGTCTAGGGCCAGCGCCTTCTACGACGCAGCCTCCTTCCAAGAAGCCTTCCCCCCTCCCCCTAACCCCTTCTGTGTAGGCCTCCTGGATGGGGTCGGAGTAGATGGGGTCGGAGGATCGCGCATCGACGATACGGCTGGATGTGGGCCCCGTGTTTCCCCACGCCGACGTCGCCGATGCATCGCCGACGCCGCCAGCGCATCGCCGATGCGGCGCGATCCTCCGACCCTGCCTACTCCGACCCCATCTAGGAAGCCTCTACTGTGCGCGCCGCCAAATGGACCCGTTTGACGAGCGGAAAGTGGAGCTCCTGACGGAAGGGTTGAGAGAGGCAATGGCAGGCCTGCAAGGAGCCAGTGTGGACGCCGTCGCGCGCGATCTCACCCCGGCCGCTCCCGAGGCAGCGGGGCCCCGCACCGCGGGGCGCCTCTGCCCCCGTGGCAGGGCCTGCGGGCCGCGGCGACCGCCGAAAGCCAAGCCTCGGCCGGCCCGGCCGGCGAGGGCACTCTCGTGGGAGGCGTGGGGGCAGCGCGTCGCCGCGGTGGCGGGGCCTTCTGCCGCCGAGCTGGCGGTGTCCCCGCCGGTCGTCGTCGTCGTCGTCGTCGTCGTCGTCGTCGTCGTCGTCGTCGTCGTCGTCGTCGTCGTCGTCGTCGTCGTCGTGCGCCCCCCCTTGCCCAGCAGGAGGAGAAGCAGGAGCAGGAGCAGCAGCAGCAGCAGCGGAAGGAAGAAGAGGCAGGAAGGGAGGGCTGAGGGTCGAGGATCGAGGTATTCGGACGTTCTTTGAGGCCCTCTTGGTTCTCCAGGAGGGGGCCGGGGCGTTTTATTGCGAAGGCCTAACGGCAGGTGCCGCCGACCCTGAAGACGACGAAGATGAAAACGAGCGGGGGGGGGTAGGAGGCGGAGGAGGATGAGGAGGAGGAGGCGGAGGAGGAGGAGTAAGGAGGAGGAGGAGGAGGGGGGGGGAAGAGGAAGGGTGGAGAAGGCGGATGAGGGAGGAGGGGGGGGGGGGAAGGATGAGGAGGAGGAGCAGGAGAGGAGGAGGAGGCGGAGGAGGAGGAGTAAGGAGGAGGAGGAGGAGGAGGAGGAGGAGGAGGAGGAGGAGGAGCAGCGAGAGGAAGCGAGTAGGAGCAACCAATTCTGGAGGCCTCGGCTCTCGACGGAAATGGGAGGGATAGGGCGGTGACAAAACCTCTCCGAAAATCAATGAGTATGGCCTCTCCGGGCCTTCTTGAGAGTCCTTGTAGGGCTCTTTTGACCCGTCTGAGGGCCCCCTTTGGCCGTCCTTAGGCGTTCTTGGGCCGTCTTGTGGGGCTTGGGCCGTCTTGGGGCGCTCTTGCAGATCCGTCGTGCCGACCCCCCCCCCTCCTCCAGCGCATCTACAGAGGGCCACTCTGTAAAAGCCGCAAACGGGGGATGCGTATCTGGGTGGCGACCCCCCCCTGGGACCCCGCCCCCACGGGACCCCCCCCCCCCGGCGGGGAAGGGATCAAAGGGAAGGGGCTTCCCTTCGACACATTTACGACGTTGCTCATTTTCGTTTTGGTTGGCGCGCTTGAGGAGGAGGGGGAGGGCTCAGGGAAAGGGCGGGTAGCGCCACACGCCGACAGGGTCGGCGGATTTTGTGAGGAGGAGGAGGAGGAGGAGGAGGAGGAGGAGGAGGAGGAGGGGGCGCGGAGGAGGTGGAGGAGGACGGGAGGAGGAGGAGAGGCAGGAGCAGGTCGGAGAGATGAGAGGGCAGGAGGGACGAGGGCATGGGGGCCACGGGGGAGGGGGCACACGGACGGCATCTCCGCCTTTCCCCGGTAAACTGGTCCATCCCCTGGTGCCACCGGGGAATGGACCAGTTTTCTGGTTTCTGTTTCGCGAATGTTTCACACGGGGTCGCCCCGCAAAGCGCCCAAGAAAGACTGGGGGACTTGTGTGCAATCAGTTTCCGAAAAGACACGCCGGGAAATGGACCAGTCGGCGCGCGCGCCTGTGTGCTGTGTGTGTGCGTGTGTGCGGTGTGTACGGTGTGTGTGTGTGGCTTGTGTGGTGTGTGGGGTCTGTGCGGTGTCCGCTGTGTGCGCGGTGAATGCAGTGTGTGCGGCGCGTGCGGCGCGCGCGGTGGTGCCGTGCTGTATGGTGCACCTTATGATGTTCTATACAGCACTACCTTTGACGTTCCTGGGAGGGCCTCCTAGGGAATCCTAGGAGTCCCTAGGGATCCTACCAATCGCAAGATTCTTGAGAGGGCCTCTCAGGGCATCCCGTGCGGCGCGCGCGATGGTGCCATGCTATATGGTGCACCTTATGATGTTTTATATTATAGTATAGCACTACCTTTGACGTGCCTGGGGAGGCCCCCTAGGGAATCCTAGGAATCGCCAGATTTCTGCATGGGCGCCGACGGCGACGACGACGACGACGACGACAACGAAGACGACGACGACGACGACGACGACGACGGACGACGGACGACGACGACGGACGACGGCGACGACGACGCCGACGCCGACGCC